ACTGTTGGTTTCTGATTCTGAAAATGCGTTTCGATTTTTTGAAAATCTTTTTCGTGTTATTTGTCTTTGTTTAGTTATTATTTTTCTCTTTAGTGTTTGTCGTTTTGTTCGAATGTATCCAACTGTTTGTGTATGAGGTGTGATTACAAGGTCGTATTTTTTGTTATCTATTTCACAATTGTGTAAAATGATTGTTTGTTTATTTCCTAGGTTTTTAAATGACATAAGGTTTAGAATGACGGATGCAAAAAGTTGTTAAATGATTTCTATTTTCTTAAACTGTTAGTTCTTACGATTTTTTGGTTAGCTTAACCTGGGTCTATTTGTTCAGGGTTGGAGAGAAAAGTATATCGATTCCGAAGAATGATTTTTACTTTCTCGTGACTAGTATAAGCTAAGGTGTTAACTTACTTAATCTTACTTAGGGGTAGTGATTGTGTTCAAGGGTTGGAGAATAGTAAATCGATCCACAAGGTTCAGGTATAATTAGAACGCGAGTAGTTCGTTAGATACTATTTTAAACTTACGAAGTCTAAGATTTATCCTGGGTCTGGTAAGAGGGGGGGTCAAGTGAAGGATGAATAACCGAAGTTCTTCACTGTTTATCCTAATTTGAATGATTAGTTTTGTTTTAAAAATTTCTATTAGTCTTGGGTCTTTAGAAAGGGTTGGGTAGTGAATCGACGTTTGAGGTCGTTAGACACTAATTAAGTGGGTGGGGGAGAACAAAGTTGTTCTGTTTGATCCAAGGATAAGCCTTGATGATCAAATTTAAAATTTAATTAAGTAGAAAATGATTTAAGATCCAAGGATAAGCCTTGATGATCTGGTTTTAAAATTAAGTGAATTTAAGTTTTAATAAAGTTTTAAATGTGTGTAAAGGAAAGATTTAGTGTTTTATGATGTTAGTGAGTTGATGATTGCTGTTATGTTTTAGATGATGAAGCTGGAACAACAGGATGATTTATGATTACTAACCATTTATTGTCATGCTACTAATTTTTATTTTTGTTTTCCAATAAATATTTTTCAAACATGTTTTGTATAATACTGCAGAGTTTTAGGGAAACGATCTTAGATCTTTTTATCAATCGTTATTGTATAATATTAATTTTGTTTAGCGCCTTAAATGATTTTGAAGAGTAACTTCAAGGTTTTATGTTTGCAAATGGAAATCTAAATTCATTGCAAGTAGTATTCGAAATATAAAAGTTTGTTCTGGCTTTTGCCGAACTATCATATAACTATACGGCAAGTTTCTACTTTGTCGTATGTCGTCTTTGGTTCGAGGTCTTCTTCCAATTCCGGGTAGTTCTATTATGGTTCGGAATATTGGCTCTGATCTATTGAGTCGGAGAGACATTTCAATTAAATTATTGTCGTATAACATTTTGTAAATGTTTTTGTCTAATTTCTAATCTATTTTTGGTTAATTCTAATCTAGTAAGGTCTTGTTCGAGACTTATGGTCGCACCAGATGAGTTAGGACCGAAGTGTAACTCATAGAGTAATTTCGGATAGGGTACACCGTCTGCTCGTCACGCTATCTTATTTTCGGCCGGATAGATTCGTGCAACTTCTTAGTCTAATACCGATCCTAATCTTACTCTTATACTATCTAGTCTCAGGTTGTTTAACTAGTCTCTGCTAGGCTCAATAGATCTAGGGTATACTGGTTTATTGCGGCTGCTGAAGTGCTCGGGAGAGTCCAACTAATTTCTAAGTTAAATTCAAATCTCTCTGGTGCTGAAATTACAAGTAACTTCAGCACTTACAAATAAGTGGGTTGTTAGTTAGATGGATCATGATTGGTTAATATTAAATACTTTACATTGGTAAAACATTTAATTTATCCAATCATAAAATATAGTTTAGATCAGGTTCCAAATCGATCTACTGCGGGGCCTTCTTTTTTGCAACCTTCTAAAAATTATGAAACCAGCGCTTAAGTAACGCTAAATTATTTTTCATTGAATGAATCATCAATGTCCATCTTCATGATTTTTTTTACTGATTCAGCAATAACTTTCAAGTCGAGCAGAAAAGTCAACTATGAGTTAGTTTGATTACTAAAAATAGACGTTCACAAACAGTTTGGTTGCGCGAAATCCGATAAGGGCCACCAAATACCAAAAATTCATACCTGAATTACTTGCCATAATCTATGAGTAGAATGGAAGGATTTAATTATCGCAAAGTTTTTCAACCCAATTGGATCAAAACCTACCGTGAATTATTTTGTTTCTAGATCTGGAATTTAAAAATCACTTCAAAGGTTTATTTTTAACTGACATGCTTTGTGATCTATAAAAAGTGGGAAAGTATTCTAATCCGGCTGAACAGATTACCCTCAAAAAACCCCACTAAGAGCAGTTATTCTCGAATTTTCCATCAGTGAACCATTATGAAAATACTTAACCAAATTCTCAAATGCTAACATTGTACAATAAATAATTTTGGTTAATGAATGGCATGTTTAAAAGGCATCGAAACCAATCCGCGAGTGACTCAATTCCTTGTTGAAAACTGTTTGTCTGATTTCTTTGATGAAAAATGTTTGTCTGATTTCTTTGATGAAAAATGTTTGTGTCAATTATTTGTTGAAAAATGGGTTCCATTCATTAGAAAAATCTGTATACTATTAGTGAACTCTGTTAACCCCAACCCCCGCCACAGCCACCACTGTCAACAAAATGATTTAGTGCGAGATTCAGAGATCAAAAAAGTTAAGCCTGCAGATCATTGATTCATAATTTGACGGGGGGTACCTACCATGCGTGCATTATTTCGAAATTCAAGATTCTGTTACAAACAGTAAAGATTGACATGTTTACAAACAGTAAAGATTGACATGTAAGGGCCCGCATTGGAATTCCAATAAAAATAGATTGTAAATGAGTTTCATTGTCAGTGTCTACAAAATCAAAAAAAAATGATTATTATCAGTTAAAAAAAGGATATTATTCAGGGGCGGATCTAGGATTTTCTCGAGGGGGGGGGCGGATTTTCAAAAAATTTTCGAAAATTTTGTTGACCTTTTTTTTAGGTCGACCAAATTGATTTTTCGAGCTTTGCCAAAGCACTGTTTTGTCCCTATTTTTGGATATATTTTCTGCGCCGCAGGCAAAATTTTGAAAAAACAGGCCAAAAACGGCGTTTTTAGGCACTTTTTGGAAATTATTGACCAAAAAATTGCGTTTTTTCGGCGCGCGCTACCCCCTCAAAATGAGTATACATTGGCGCCGAAGGTGCCTTTAGAAAAATTTTAGGGTCCATCACCAAAAATTGATATCTCAAAATAGTACAAAGGGGGGAGGGACCCTTTGGGTCAGCAGTGGGTCGAATCCCTGAGGGGGGGGGGGGGGGCGTCCGCCATCCCCCCCTCGCCTCCCCCTAAATCCGCCCCTGATATTATAACTATTTCCAAGGCAACAAATTTCATTTTTAAACCATTATAGTAGATTTTTGTTTTCACTTTTGTGGACACTGACACAAAATCCAAATAAAATAGATGTTTTCCACTTTTCCACTTTGTTGAGACGCGAAGCTCAACCCACATAATGTCTTTTATTCTGCGCAACTTTGATTTTTGTGACTTTTTTATGCTACTCAATAACTGAGTTATGTTTCTTTCAACAACTATCCTTCAACAACCCCCCCCCCCCCCCCCCCCCCCAATGTTTGCCCATTTCCCCCTTTTTACCCCGCCATCCCCCACATGAGCCCAAATGAACCAGCCCTTCGCTCACACCCACCCTACCCCTGAACTCGGTCAGGTGGGGTGGGGGGGGGGGGTCAGGTGGTGGGGGCGTGGTGGGGTGTTTTATCAGGTGTAGCTGCAGGGTTTTGTTGGTTCAGGTGGGGGTTGGTTCAGGTGCCGTGGAATGGTGGTGGTTCAGGTTGGGGGAGGGGGGTTGGGGTTGGGTGATGATTCAGTGTGGTTCAGGTGGTGGAGTGGTTCAGTGAGGGGGAGGGGGGGGGGGCAAACGTTGGGAAGGAGGGTTGTAAGGGAGCAAAAGACTTGCACTATTTTGTACTAATTTGAAATGTCCATTTTTGGTGACAAAACGGTCTTTTACGGCTTTGTGAGAGCTTGGAAAGGAGGTGGACAAAGTTTTCGAAATTTTTGAAAATAAAAATCCAAGCACGCATCCCCAAACCCCCCCCCCCCCCCCCACAGAGAAAAACCTAGATCGAACACTGCACAAAATCGTGCAAATTTTCAAAAGAAAAATAAAATTGACAAACAATCCACTTTAATGTGATTTGCTACTTATTCTATAATCCATTCCAATTTTTTTGTCTGAGCATAACAAGTGTTAGCTGGTGGGGAGTTTTCTTTACATTTGGTTTTTCTTCTTCAGGTTCCAAACTGGATTTTTTCAATTTTTCTAAATAAAAAAAATCTGCTACACAAAAAAGTTGTTCTACGAAAAATCTACATAAAAAACATTCTGTTAAACAATCATGTTGACAAAAAGAAAATTTCCCGTTATCTTTGTTTGTAACCCTAATGGGTTTCCTACTAACATTTTTCCAGACCTATAAAAATCTGATTTTTTGATATGCTTTTTAAAGTTACATGAGGGGGTTAGGTGGAATTGTTAAAAAACATCTCGGCTTTGTTATTATATGCGATTATAATTTAACAACGTATTAGCTAAATTACATCGACTTTTCCCGGATTCAAAGTTTTATAACTTCAACTTCAGTGGATGGAAAAAATTTTCATGGTAAAAACACAGGGGGTTTTTGCTTGAATTATTCTAGAAATTAGTCGGAGTTTTTCAGATCCTTTAAGCTCATTCTGAAATAAAATAGTTTTTATTTTTTCTTGTTTTGCTGCTTCAAGATCTTCATTGAAATGAATTTTTAATTGGTCGCTTATGAAAAAGTCCAGCTTTTGACAACTCTTTTGTACTGTTCAATAAAAATGTATATCGTGCTTGGCTTAAAGGTGAATCATTCTCAAACAAAAACTACATTTTTGTCATTTATTTTATGCTTTAAGCATAGCTGAACGTGTTTTAAAACGTATTTGAATTAAATGCACGTTTCAACTCACCAAAAAATTCATTTTTCATCAGTTGTAATATATATGACAAACTTAAAAAGGATTTCAAATTAGTTATCACCAAGAATCAGTAATCAAGCTATTTTATATAATAAAAAAAGATCTCAAATAAATTTTTTTACAAAAATAGCTAATATTGAATTACACTGATCAGAAACAGAGAAATTAATTTTTTCACTGAAGACGTGTGTGATCAAGAATGTCAACAAAAACAACAACAACAACATCAACAACTGCAAATGACCTCTGTGATCCTTCAGTGGCGCAGCATTACAAAGGTCACAAGGATGCTATCACAGGTATTTTTATATTTTTAATTTGTTTTTGTCCTCACGGTTATTTTTTTTTGTCAATGTAATTTTGGACAAGAAAATGTCAAGTTTGCATTTCATCTTTTTCAGTTTTGATTACTATTTGAGTTTAATGTTTGGTCTCTTTAAGTTTTTCACCAGAAAATTTTTTTGACATTTCTAAACAAAAATTATGCTTATTTAATTGAGTTTCTCTTAACAGGCATGGAAAGTTGCAGATCTATCAGTTTATTTCGGACGAAGACGGGTTTTTATTAGAAAACTCACTAAAATTGTATATTAGACGAACGTTATTCTTGAAGAGCAGAGAACCCATTAAAAATTTCTATTTTTTGAAAAAATAACTTTGGCCGCTTGCAACTCATTTCGATAAATCAGATTTTTTGGAGCGCTTCCTCATCCTCAAATTTATAGTTGTTGTTTTTCATCTAAAATTGTGGTCGTCAATTCTTTCCAAAATAGTATTGAAAAGTCGTCCATGAACAGAAAATCTTCATAACTAGATAGTATAATTGAGACGCATAACACGGTTTATACTGTAATTACATAATGTTTTTAGCCGTTGATTTCAACCCGAACTCCAGACAACTGGCATCGTCCTCTCTGGACGGGACCATCATGGTGTGGAACTTCAAGTCCCCCCAGGCGAGAGTGTTTCGCTTTTCGGGACACACAGACGGGGTGACGAGTGTCTGTTTTAGCCCCACCGGACACTTGGTGGGGAGTGGGTCACGTGACAGGAGTGTGAGACTGTGGGTGCCCAGTATTAAGGGGGAGAACAACGCCTTCAAAGCTCACTCGGGTAAACCAGAAAAACATTATACTTAGTACTGGGGAGAAGACTAAAATTTTATTCCTGGGGGGGAAGGGGGTTGAATTATATTTAACTGAATATTTAAAAAAAAGAATTACCTAAAAACTAAAAACACTTGCAAACTTTATGGCATTTTGTTAAAAAATGGTTGATAAAAAACAAAAAAGCTATTTTTTCAGTATTACGCAAACTTTTCACTCTCTAGTTTTAAACAGTTGAAACCAAAGTCGAGCTTCCCACCCTGGCTTTGATAATTTAAGCTTTAATTTTTGCCTGATATCATGTTTTCCCGTACAGAAAACAGAGAGTTTGCAATTGATTTGTTTCAATTTAATTGCGGAATTGAATAGGTGTCAATTTTGAAATACATTTTGTAGAAAAGTACTATGTTGAAAATTACTAAGTAGAAAAGTAGAAAAAACGGTGAATTCTCAATAATTCAAAGTCCTTTTTTAAAAAATCACAATGTAGAAAAAACAGCTAATATAAATGATTATTATCAATTTTAAACCGTTTCTTGCACTATTTTCATAAAACAATTTTTTTTTTTCAGTTTAGACATTCTTGAACAAAATTAAATCAGCATTTGTCCAATCGATGCCCAATCAAAGCATTACCCAAAAAACCGTCAACATTTTTGTCAAGATTTTCAACTTATTCCTGCTATTTTAAAGACTGGAAATTACAAAAACTAGACTCTAAGGGAGGCTAGAAAATCTATCAATCTGATCGATTTCGACATTTTTGCATAAAAGCAGGTACTCGGATTGACAGAAATTGCTTGTTAATAAATTCAATTCTATTGAAAAAAAGCCTATCATACAACTCAGCACAATTCCAAAGACAAAAAAAAATTGTATGAAAACAGACAGCATTATGAGCAATTTCCTCATGCTATGGAATTTTACGGTAGATATTTTTTCCATACTTTAGAATTACATGACAATTTTTTTCATGTAAATAAGTTTTGCTTCGCATAAATCAATTATTGTGTTTCACAAGGAAACGACAGAAAAAGTTTTCTGAAAAAAAAGGCAAGCAAGCTAAACGGCATCAAAACTGCAGATTAAACTACGTATTGATAGATGTTAAATAAGTTTAAAGTTAGATCTTCACAAAAAAAATCAAAAAAATAGAAACGAGGACTTTATTTCTAAAAATTCAGATATTGAAAACCCTGAACTTTCTTGGGCAGAGTTATGTTACATGATTTAATCTAAAACCGAAAAATAAATATTCTGCTATCACAGAAAAACTTCATCGGACCCTTGTTTCTTTTAATTAATTTTTTTAAAATAAAATTCAATACAAGCTCATTTAAATTTGCCTAAAAATTCTTTTGAAAAAACTTTTAACACCAAAATAGTGAAAAAAAAAACGATTTTCTTTCAGTTTTCATCAAAGAGAATCGTATGATAAGCTTTTTTTCCACAAAAAACCTTGTAGTGAGTTGTATGATAAGCTTTTTATAGTATGACCATTTCTGATAGCGTTTTAGATGTAGGGAATCGTATGATAAGCATTTTCCAAATGGTGATCAATCCGTCAAACCAACTCTTCCTTTCATCGTCAAGTCGTAAATTTTTAGTCGCAAATACGTAAACTTGTTTATGCTTGCTCTGTGTTAGCAAGAACCTGCACAATGAAGAAAAAAATTGATTTAAGTGTGTTTGAATACATTTTGCGAGAAAAAACACATAATTTAGGCATTTGTTCCACCATTACCGGTTTATCATTTTTTCATGCAAAATTTTTACGGTTAATCGATTCTTATTCAGTATTGCTTGAAAATCTCATAAGTCGATAAAAAACTTGTAAGTTGAGCCTAGCTAAGACTAGTCACTGTTGTTTTGCTATTATTGGCAAAACAGAGTCATTTGTTTTTTAAAGCTGCCGTATTTATTCTGACAAAAACAAAAAGTCCTCTTCTTTCTATGAGGTTGCATCAATCTTTATTTTCTTCTATGATGAAACTTCAAGAATTTTTGACTGTTATTGATCCGCTCACTTGGAAAGCGTAAGATTTTCTCCTCGGGGTTTTGGTTTTTTTCTAAGTTTTTTAATCCAAATATACATCGGATAAGTCGTATGACATATGATAATAAAACTATACCAGTTTAAAGTCGAAGCTCTAATAGAATTTCCAAAAAATCTCATCATGTACAACAACCGTTTGGGAATATTAGAATTTTTACTTTGAGCAAATAATGCGTGCCAGTTTTGTAGGATACAAACTGGTACATTTAGTTTTTATTTAAATGATGAAACTTTAACTTTACTCCAATTAAAATAATAATGTGATGTTTCATCAGTATTTTCTTGACATAATTCTTAAAATATTCTCTTTGAAATTCAGTGAAAACTTTGAAAATTGGTTTTTGTAAAAATTATTATTATTATTTTTTTTAAATTCATTTTTTTTCAAATTCATCTTTGTTTTGTTTTAATTCAATTTTCTAAAAAAAAACAAAATGTCAAAAAAACCCTTTTTAAAAAAAATTTCTAGCGCGTATGTCTCAATTCTAGGCTTTATTTCAAAACTCTCATCACGTCACGAACAAGAAACGATAATTAGAAATTAAAAAATTAGAATTGAAATTGAATTTTATAATTTTGTTTTTTAATAATCGCTGAAACGTTCTTGGCTACTGACACAGAAACCGTGTATTTTCTAAAATTATCTTGGCAGCTAATTTTTCAATTATTTTTTCGTCAGCAACTGTGAGGTCAGTTGACTTTTCTTCTGATGGAGAGTTCATAGCGACTGCCTCTGACGACAAGAGTGTGAAGATATGGTCAGTTCACAGACAGAAGTTTCAGTTCTCTCTCAATCAACACACCAACTGGGTAAGTTATGTGAGTTTGTACAAACCTAGAGAAAGTTCTTGGAGGATTTCCACAGTTAGGAGAGGGGGGGTTGTATACCGGATAACAATGTCCTCTTAAATCTCTTATTAAATAGATTGGACGACCTCGATAGTGGGACCTAAGATAGTTTCATAACAAAAATATACGCTCGCGTTGAGCTTCCACATTTTTTTTCCGGAAAAACACAAAGAAAACACGAAATAACTCAGTTTAATTAAATATGGACCGTTTTTTTGAATCAAATTAAGAAATACTGTAAACTTTCAAACCACATTCATTCCTAGAAAAATCAAAATTTGGGGTTTTCGCCCAATGGATTGTTTTTTTTTTGAAATCAAAGTTCTTTGCTTTTCATTATATTTTTCTAGGTCCGTGCAGCGCGATTCGCCCCCGACTCCAGCCTGATAGCTTCGTGTGGCGATGACAAGTCGACCAAAATCTGGGACATCCGAACGAAAGAGTGTGTTCACACGTTCTACGACAACGAAGCCTCCATGCACGATGTCAGGTTCCACCCGTCTGGTACTTGTATTGCCACTGGATTATCAAGTGGGGGCATCAAATTGTGGGATTGCAGGTAGGGGCATTGGGGGAGGGGTTTGATACAGGACAATGATTTTTGCTCTCAAATTATAAAAACTAAAACAATGAAAAAAGATCACTAGTTATTTCTTTGTCTTTGTGTATAAAAATTGTAGTTGGGTCGTAATGAGTAACTTTTTTAATAGGTATAATAATTTAAACTGAGAATTTAAAAATGTGAAGCTTGTCGTAAGAAAAAACTTTTTTGAAACGTTCGTTTTTAAATTTTTCATTTTGTTCTGTGTAGGGTGAATGCAATAAAATATAAAACTATAATGATGAACAATATCAACCTAACACATCTAACTTATTATTTTTATGTGTTTGTGTTAAAAAACACTGTTATGTCGATTTGAGTACAAAAGTTTATTTTCATTTAAAAATTAAAATTTGAAAAATTTTAAAAATGAGCTTCTTGTCTAAAAAAATTTTTATTAAACTTTTTTTTTCTAGTTTAATTTTTTAATTTGGACATTCCATTATGATAAAAAACCGTAATTTATTTCGATGTGTTGTGTTTGTAGGGTGAATAGATTACTACAAAGCTACCACAGCCACGAGTCCTGCGTGAACTCTCTTCATTTCCACCCCCGCCAGGGAGATGTCCTCTTATCAGCCAGCAGTGACTGCACGGTCAAGATACACGACCTAAAAGAGGGCAGGTCAGTCCAGTTCATTCACCTTTGACCCTTCAGTTTTCATTCCCATAATCAGTTATACATTTGTTTTCAAGAAGAGAATTTGTTAAAAATTTCCAAAAGTTATATTGACGAAAATCACATATGGAAGAACACCAAAAAGGGCAGTTAGGTTTCTAGTAAGAAAAAAAGTTGGTTATTCAGAGAAGTTATTCCACGCGACGTTTTTTATTTCGGTGGATACTTTGTCTCAGAGTTGTTGTTATAGTCACTATAAGAATTCATTTGTTGAGTGAGCTTTGAAAAAATTTTAAAAATGGAAAGTTTTTAGTACCCGAGTCGAGATTTTTCACCTAATTTGAAGCAAGATTTTTTGAACCTAATTTGAGCCTAATTTGATCCAAAAAAAACGCCCAAACCGCCCAAACCGCTCAAATCGCTCAAATCTTGCTGAAAAACCGCTCAAACCGCTCATATCTTGAGCGGTTTTTGAGCGGGATCTCGACCCGGGTAGTTCATGAGGGGTGACAAATCTAAAAAGCGATAGAAAATTATTGAAAGTTTTGAATTTCATACAACTTTCTATTTATAAGAAGAGCATACTAATGTTACAGAAATTACCGATTTTTCTTTTGAAACAACCAAAAAAAACCCTCCCCGTAAAAAAACGGTTTCAAGCGGCTGATAGATTTTTTTGTTAGCAGCCTGAGGCGCTTTATTGGGAAAGACACAGTTTATCACTTGTGTCTATTCTTTTTTTAAAACTTTTTCAGAGAAGTTTTCTCGGGTTGTTTTTTTCATTGAGCTTTTTTGGTTAATGAAAATCTTGATTTTTTGTCGTTTATAATTGTTAATAATTTCAACCAATCAGATTCGAGAATTATCCAGCAGTTTTCAAAATAACTAAAAGAAGATCCGTTTTATTTTTAACTTCTTTTTCAACCCAACAGGTTAATCTACACTTTACACGGTCATCAACCACACGCAGCCACTGCAGTTGCATTCACGAAGACAGGCGACCAATTCGCATCGGCTGGATCAGACAACCAGATACTCATATGGGATACAAACTTCACAGAGCCAACCGAACAGCTGAGAGATGTTTTCTCAGGTAGAGCTTCTAGATATCTTTAACTACCCCCCCCCCCCCCGCTGTTAATAGCTAGTGACTAGCGCTAAATTTGTAGCGTTTTAGTTGGGCTTATATATGAGCATGCCTCTTTTTCCTCAATTCCGAAAAGTAAAACAAAATGCTCAATTCCGAGCAAGGAGCACAACAAAATCCTACCAGAGCGGTTTCAATTAACAAATATTTTTGAAATTTTTTGTCCTTTGGCGCCGAAGAGACTAGAACTAAGTAAAAAACGAAAAGTAAAAAGACTCAAAACCCTACCACTAGCGGATTTAGGTGGGGAGGGGGAAGGGGCGTTGGGCGGACGCCTTTTCTTCAGGGATTTGACCCCCTGCCGACCGAAAGGGACCCACCTTTGTACTATGGTGAGATATCCGTTTTTGATGACGGAACCTTAGAAATTTCTAAAGTCGCCTTGGGCACCAATCTTTACTAATTTTGATGGGGGAGCGCGCGCCGAAAAGACGCAATTTTTTGGTCGAAATTTTCCAAATTATTATAGTTAACTTGCACAATTAGACTCTAAGAATGCTACAAGATAGGGTTTTTCTTCTCATAGGAAAAGTGTAAGTTAGTGACTTTCGTTTTAAATTTTTTTTTCTTATAACCAGTTTAAAATTTCTCCGCTGACACAGAGTAGAATAACGAAAACTCAGAGCCCAAAGAATTTGTTTCTCAACGTGAGGTTTCTGTTTCTTTTTTGTTAAATTCTTCATAAAATTAGTTTTTGTTGTTAACTAGATATTTGTCGATTTATACCTGAACCCAATAAAACAACACGTCCGCAGATATATGACATGACATGATTCGTCATAAATGAAAAACTAATGCTTCTAAATTAATTTCAAACCGCTATAATTACGTATAATTAGGAGATTCATTGAAAAAAAACTCCCTTAGTTTCTTAATTTTTGGATCAAAAGGCATACATTACAACCACAACCTGGAAAAATTTACATGCATTTTTTTGAAAAAAAAAACAAAAAGGCTCCAAAATTGATTTTCTTTTGTTTTTACGATATAGAAACAATTTCGAAATGGTTTTTTTGCGTTTTTTTTAGTTTTGGGAAAAAATAGTTGGAAGAAAAAAGTAGGAAAACAAAAATTCTAAACAAAAGTTCTAAGATAGGATAGTTTTTGTAGGATGGTCAACCCAAAAAACCAGAAGTTTTTTAGCCCATTAAATCTCAGCATTCAAAAACTCGAATGAAACCGGCGATAAACTCAGCCGATCCTAGGCATTTAAAAAGGCGTTGATTGGTTGATCATTTGGTATTTCTATTCTAGGGTTGACCAAAAATGCTAATCATTCAATTTTCATAAAAGGGAAAATGCGAATCATACACTTTTCTTGCAATTCCATAAGTACAGAAAATTGCATGAAAGGTCTAAGATTAGTGATTTTTCTATAACGCAAAAATATTTATATTTTAATTTCTCAAACTTTTTTAGTAGTGTTCGTAACCGAACACAGTTGAAACAAAACCTGGAATAACCAAAGGTTTAACCGTATTGTATTGAAAATGCATTGGAAGCGGCCTGAAATGTCTTAATGCTGTCTTATACAAATAATACAAGGTAAGTATAGAATTTTTAAATTTTGGCCAAAATTTGTAATGATGATTATTTTTAACGTTTGATTTTTTTAATTAACAGACATTAATCAAGGCATACAGAAACATGACATACAAAAGAAAGAAGAGTTTTATGCATTTTTGAAAATAGTTTTTCAGCGAAAAAAGTCCAATATTGCTTTATCCAGGACTACATTGTACCTGCAAAAAATTAAATTTCGCGTACAATTTTTTATGAAAATTGTTTGTTCGAGTACAAAATTCAATTTGCAGTGGAAAAAAAAGAAAAAAAAATCGAAATTACTTCAACTTTTATCACAAAAATGCTAGTCATACAACTTCAATATATGGAAATTGTGTGACTAGCAATTTTCTATAACGCAAAAATATTTATACTTTAATTTCTCAAACTTTTTTAGTAGTGTTCGTAACCGAACACAGTTGAAACAAAACTTGGAATAACCAAAGGTTTAACCGTATTGTATTGAAAATGCATTGGAAGTGGCCTGAAATGTCTTAATGTTGTCTTATACAAATAATACAATGTAAGTATAGAATTTTTAAATTTTGGCCAAAATTTGTAAGGATGATTATTTTTAACGTTTGAATTTTTTAATTAACAGACATTAATCAAGGCATACAGAAACATGCCATACAAAAGAAAGAAGAATTTATGCATTTTTGAAAATAGTTTTTAAGCGAAAAAAGTCCAATATTGCTTTATCCAGGACTACATTGTACATGCAAAAAAATAAATTTCGCGTACAATTTTTTTTGAAAAATGTTTGTTCGAGTACAAAATTCAATTTGCAGTGGAAAAAAAACGAAAAAAAATTTCGAAGATATTTCAACTTTTATCACGAAAATGCTAGTCATACAACTTCAATATATGGAAATTGTAGGATTAGTGTTTTTTTTTGACAAAAATTTTTTTCTTTTTCATTTAGTATGACACATCGTTTTTTATGCCAAAACAAAACTCGATGACACCATTTTAGTAAAATGTGTGAGATTTTTATGTCTCGTTTTTTTTTCAAGGAATTAGATTAGGCAATTGTAATGTATTATTAGCATTTTTGTCTATGGAGGTCAACCCGGGTTTGGAGAAGAGCTCATTTGAACAGACAGTAAACTTCATCGGGGTTTTTTGTTTAAGCCGAGTCAAAAAGTAAGAAGACAATTAAGCGAAAAATTGACCAGCCGAAACTGCCACGAAGCTTGCCAAGGAGTGAAAACAACTTCGGAAACGAAAACAGTTCACACTTGCAGATGTCTTCAAATGGAATGAGCGAAAGTAAATTTTTATTTAAAAAAATCATCAGAATAGGAAACCAAGTGTTAAGGAACTTTTGGATTTTATTGACAGCTCATTGACAGCTGTAGTGTGGAGCTTCTTGACACTTTTTTTGTTCTTCTCATTTAAATCGTTGAATGCACTCTTAGATTTTCTTCCGGTTTCTTCAACAGTGTGATTTTTTGATTGCCATTAATTGCCCTGGGTAATTTAAAGACACTTTTTTCACGGCCAACTAGAAAATAGTTTCTGTTTGCTTTACGTATTTTAGCTTTTTAATTTTCGTTTTTTTTTAATTTCATTTTTTGTTCATTTTGCGATTTTCCGGTTTTTTCAGGTTTTTAAATACATTTTGTAGTATTAAAAACAGCCTTGAACCATTAAGTGAGTTCAGTATCATTTATTAGCCAAAATTTAACTTCAAATTTTGTTTAGGCTTTATGGGACGATCGACTTTCCAACCAATTCAGAGCACTACGAATACTGACATCACATATACGTCACTACGCTCTCACACCAATCCCATTCTAGAAAGTTCTAGAACAATTCACACTGCTACTGATTGTGTTCACCCAACCGAATTTTCTCAACAAGCCGAAATCTTAGAGCCATCCGCTGTCGAGTCAGTAATTTCACAGCCTGTAATAACGAAAGAAGGACAGAACTCTGCAAAGTCGAAAGAAGACAATTTGAGAATCATGGAAAAATTGGAGATGATTACAAATCAAATGGACATTTTGACACAAACTGTCGCCATAATCGAGCAAAGGTTGACCAATACTGAAGACAAACTGAACTATTTGATGACTAGCAAAACTGCACAGATAGAGAAAAATGACGAGCAAAAGGCAAATAATGATGTTAACAATTAGTTAATTAAATGAATAATTAACTAAATAATTTTTTTCTACACGGGCTGATTTGCTTCACTGCCAGGGTTGACCGAAAGTTGCAAATCATACAATTTTCGTGATCTATGACCCGCAGTGACAAAATGGATAAAATCAATTAAAAACAGAAAAATGTACAGATTAAAGTAAGTATCTAATCGATTTATCCACAAACATTTTGCGAACGATAA